ATATTTTAACTTACTGCATCTGTGTATCGTCACACAGTGGCAGATAGGACAGCACTCCAGAGGGTCAACGTCATTGCCCAGAGGTTCATTGGTTGCCATCTCCCCTCTTTGGATGAGCTTTATAGCTCCCGCTGCCTTAAGAAAGTTCAAAACATTCTTAAAGATCCATCTCATCCTGGGCACCCTTTTTTTGAACTATTACCATCTGGCAGACAGTACAGGATAATAAAAACAAGGGCAAATAGGCAGTTTCTATCCCAGGGCAATAACCATATTGAATTCTATGGTATAGTGCAATATTGGGTTTTCAATTTCAATTATATAGAAAATAACGGGTTGTATGTTTGTGTTTTTATTTTTATAGTTATAACGTACACTGAAGACAGCATTTAATTTTGTTGTATCATGTGAAATGACTAAACTAAACTAAACACATAACCTTACAAGAACTTGGTTAGATTTCACATGGCTTTTTAGTTGCCTAAACATTTTATTGAAGAATACTAGAAGGAGTTACAGAACATAAGGGTATTTTATTTAGATGTATACATCCATATTCACCGAGTAATAACACCAAATTTTACTCTGGGATCTTCTGTTTAATGTCTAAAATATTTACGGCACTTATCTGACCAACACTTTTTAAAATAGATTCAAGATAACATTAGCATAAATTAAACCATATAATACAGTAATATGCAGTGTCAATAAAGAAAAATTAAGAAATCTTAATTCAATTTACAGCTGACCAAAAGAAATAAGTACTGTATTCAAGCAAAAACAACTCAACGATTATAGCACTCACACCAGTGAACTGAAGTTCCGGAAAAGGACTTTCTCAGCATATAGAAGCAGACAAATTTTGGTCCCAGTTGTCATTGTTAAGCAAGAATTAACTATAATTCAGCCTCCTTCCCCCTTGAGTACTCGGCAAACATTTTTCCCCCCAATTACTCTGCCAATCATGAGGCTTTATGGGACTTCTCTCCACCCTCCCCACACTATTTAGAAGATTTTGGTTTCCCTACAGGTTTGGTGCTAGGCAGCATTTGTATTTGTAAAATGAATACCTAGTTTTATCTATTGTTTTTTTTCCCCTCTGGCTGTTGTTTAGGTGTTACTATTGGATGAGCCAACTGCTGGTATGGATCCATGCTCCCGACATACAGTTTGGAACCTCTTGAAAAACAGAAAAGCCAACCATGTGACAGTGCTCAGTACCCATTTCATGGATGAAGCAGACATTCTTGCAGGCATGTTCAATTAGATGCCTGTTAGGTTAGATATATATTATCCATAATATAAATAAGATACTTTTGGTGGTTACCATATAAGCTTTATTTATTTATGATAAAGATCCCTTCTGGCCTACTTCTAGATCGGAAAGCTGTAATTTCTCAAGGAATGCTGAAATGTCTTGGATCTTCCCTTTTCCTTAAGACAAAATGGGGAATTGGCTATCGTTTGAGGTACAACCATTTTCTGTTCTGTTCTAATGTCTGTCACAATCCTGCTTCAATATCTCCACTCTTTAAACACATTTAAATAACTTTGAAATTGAAATTCTTTCATTGTTAGGTGATCGTAATATGAATTGGATTGTATGATTAACATTGTTACCATGCTTGGCTTGAAACTCTATGAAAATTACTTGAGAACTTCAGCTAGTATAGTATAGTTATTCAAGTTTTTGTTAAGACTAGACTGCTCATCTGTAATATCTATCCTACTGTCAGTTGCTAGTTCAGTTTTAAATCTCAATTCAGAATACTTAACGTTGATCTTTAAACAATTGGAGTCTAGTTATTATTTGAAGGACTGCTTATGCTTGCATTAATGTACTAGGGAAAAAGCAAGTAAGTCTTATTTACCTGCTCCTGCTTTATTGCTTAAACCTCTTAGTGAAGACCCTTTTATAGGTAGTCCTTAACTTATGATGACAATTGAGCTCAACATTTCCATTGTTATATGAGATACTGTATTTTTCGGATTATAAGACATACCGGAGAATAAGGCGCACCAAGATTTTGAAGAGGTTTTTTTTTTTTTCCCTCCTGGCCCCCAGGAGCACTTTGCAGGCCTCCCAAACCCTCTGCATGCTCTGTTTTTTGTGAAAAACGGGGCATGCAGAAAGTTTGGGAGGCCTGCAAAGTGCTCCTGGGGGCCAGGGAAAACAAAAATGTGACACGTGGGGGTTTGGGAAGTGAAAAACGAGCCTGTTGTTCGCAAAAATGGGGTGTGCAGAGGGTTTGGGAGGCCTGTAGAGTGTTCCTGGGGGCTGGGAAAATCAAAAAGAAGCAAAAACGGGGCATGCAGAGAGTGTGGGAACCCTCCCCTGGCTGGAGAGAGCAAAAATGAGCAAAAAAATGACCCCTTTTTTTTAAAAAAAAAAAAAAAAAAATAGGCCATGCAGAGAATTTGGTAAGTCTGCAGAATGCTCCTGTGGGCTTGGGATGGCAAAAACAGCCCTGTTTTTGTGAAAAATTGGCTCTTTTCCACTCTCTTTTGCTCTCCCCAGTCCCCAGGAGCACTCCACAAGCTTTCCAAAACTCTCTGCATGTCCAGGGCAGGCACAGGGTGGGGTTTCAGAAGGCCAAAAAAGATGCACCCTCTTTTTCACCCTCTTTTTTGGGGGGAAAAGGTGCATCTTATACTCTGAAAAATGTGGTAATTGTTGAGTTTCCCCCCACTTTACAACCTTTCTTGCCACCATTGTTAAGTAAATCACTGAAGTTGTTAAGTAATATGGCTGTTAAATGAATCTGGCTTCCCCCTTGACTTTGCTTGTCAGAAGGTCGCAAAAGGGGATCACATGACCCTGTGACACTGCAAAAGTCATAAGTATGAATCATTTGCCAAGGGTTCAATTTTTGATTACATGACCATGGGAATGTTGCAATGGTTGTAAGCATGAAAACTGGTCATAAGTCACTTCTTTCACTGCCATTGTAGCCTTAAATGGTCACTAAATGAATGCTTGTAAGTTAAGGGCTACCTATATATTCCTGAGTAGTCTAGTATCTTTTAAAGCAGATTTAAACCATACTTGACCTCTCTGGCCTCTAGTTTAAAATTGTTGAAGTTTTGTGTTGGGTTGTTCAGTAGTCATTTTAAAGATGTGTTTAGATTTTGCTGAACATCATTACATTTTACTACTTCATATTGTAAGCACCCTTTGGATGGTAACTAATAAATGGTATTTATGAATACCCTTCATGAACTGGATTATGAAAATACAGATAAAGGCAGCAGCATAGGAGTAATTCTTCTTATTCCTATAATGAATGTTGTGCATCCCTTTGCAAAACAATGATATCTATATGTGTTTCTTAGTATGGACATAGATAGGTATTGTAACACAGAAGCCACAGCATCTGTCATCAGACAGCACATCCCCGGATCAAGTTTGCTAAAGCAGAACGAAGAACAACTGATATATGCATTACCATTTAAAGATATGGACAAATTTTCAGGTATAATTTTTTTCTTTATTAAATTGGAGAGAAAAGCGGAAGGCTATGTTTCTAATTGCACTTGATCTCAAAGACTATAATATTAATATACAGAGAGTTGGTGGTTACTTTAACAGAAAACAGCCAACCCCAGATACATTTATTACCTAAGTCTTATTGTTTTCCTCCTTTTGGAATAAAGTTTTGTGGAGATTAGAAGACCGTTCCTTGAGCAACTGTAAAAAAGGACATTGCAGTGGAATATGATTGCATTTACAAATTCATTTCTAAGACCTCCACTGCTACTTTTTCTTGTAGCGCTGTTTGCTGATTTAGATACCCATGCTCATTTGGGTGTTATTTCTTATGGTGTTTCCATGACAACCTTGGAGGATGTTTTCCTCAAGTTGGAAGCTGAAGCGGAGATTGACCAAGCAGGTAAGCGGGGGAGGGGAACTCACCAACTTCCTATACTGTGTTTTAAATACAATACTATAAATGTTGTCTCATTTGTAATTGTTTCATTATTCAATTAAATTTCAGCTTATAGAATAGTAGAATTTTCCATTTTTTAAAATTGGGTTGGACAATGACATTTTTGGGATGGAAGCTTTACTGGTTCCTTCAAATCACTTGTAGTCCTTAACGTATGACCACAACTGAACCCAAATTTTCTGCTGTTAAACAAATAGTTGTTGAGTTTTGCCCCATTTTATGACTATTCTTGTCACAGATGTTAAGTGAATGAATCACTGAAGTTGTTAATAGCACGGTTGTTAAATGAATCTGACTTTCCCGTTGATTTTGTTTGTCAGAAGGTTGTAAAAGGTGATCACATGGCCCCAAGACACTGCAACCGTCAAAAATACATGCCAGTTGCCAAGTGTCTGAATTTTAATCATGTGACCATGGGGACGCTGCAACAGTTGCAAGTGTGGAAAAACAATCATAAATCACTTTTTTCAGTGCCATTGTAATTTTAAATGCTCACTAAGTGAATACTTGTTAAGTTGAGGAATATACACATACGTATACGTATACGTATATGTATATGTATATATACACATACTCATACACACAGACATATATATGTATGAATATATATATATATATATATATATATATATATTCATACACACATAGCCCAATCTAAATTTAAAGCTACCCAAGCTATTCTTTTCTGTTTCTTAGATTTTAGTGTATTCAACTCAGAAAAAGTAGAAGAGGAAATGGAAACAAAATCTACTGATGAATTAGAG